TTCTTCTTCTTCTTCTTCTTCTTCTTCTTCTTCTTCTTCTTCTTCTTTTTCTTCTTCTTCTTTTTCTTCTTCTTTTTAGAGAGTACTGGGCAGTGGCGGTGGGCACATGGCTTTAATCCTAGCACTTGGGAGGCAAAGGCAGGCGAATCTCTTGAGAGCTCAAGGCTAGCCTGGTGTACAAAGCGAGTTCCAGGGCAGCTAGGACTGTTACATAGAGAAAACCTGTTTCAAAAAAGGGAGAGAGTATGTGTGTGTCCTGGAGTTACAAGAATGTGCCGCTATGTCCTGCTTGTTTGTTTGTGACAGTCTTATTGTGTAGTCGTGGCTGGCCTCACTCTTGGGATTTCGCTTTCTCTACGCACGTGCGTGCACACACACACACACACCTAGCTGTTTGCAGAGTTATCTGAGTTTCTTTTATGGTTTGATGCTCTTTTGTTGTTACAGTTTTTACATTTCTTTGGGTTGGGGAGGCTCATGCAATTCCATGGCACGGAGGACAAAGAACAGTTTTCTCCTAAGTGGGCCCTGAGGATTGAATTTAGATCATCAGGCATGATGGCGGATGCTGTTCCCCGTTGAGCCATCTCACCAGCCCAGCAGGTTTTTAATGTCAGTTAATTTCAGTGTTAAAAGCTATGTGTGGTTGGCACCTACCGTCTTAGCTGGTGTGGAGCAGAAACTCGTGTGCCGCATCTTTAAATTGAGCACACTATCACCAGGAGCTTAGAAGAGAAGCCCTTTGACCGGCTTCTTAGACAAGAGACATTGGAAACGTGGTCTGACCTCACAGCCCTCTTCCTGTGCCCTTCCACTCCTTACCCCAGACTAGAAACTTCCATGGTGCGAGATTGTACGTCCTGTGATCCTTGTGCCTTCTGCTTGAACCTGGGACAACCGGAGGGGCAGTTGATTTTCAGAATGCCCTCTGATGAGCTGACTCTAACATAAATACGTCTTCGGGCTGCCTGGCACTCAGACTTGGTTTGTTCACTGGCATAAGGACTTAGCACACACTTGCCGAGTGCATGAGTAGATGCTGCACAAATGCCAGCGCTGGCCCTTTAATATCAGTTATGTTTTGAAGTTGTTAAATAAGTCTTTTTAGGTTCCTAATTTGGATTTCTTTGCTCTTTAAGTGTCATTGGATTTTTTTTCTGTTTGTTGGCAGCGGCGGGGTGTTTGATCAATGCTGTATAGGCCTGGCTGGCCTCAAGCTCAAGGTCCATGCTTCAGTTCCTGAGTGCTGGGGACTGTAGGCCTGCACCATGCATTCCTTTGCAGGGCTCCCTGTTTCAGCATCTGTTCCAGGCAGGAGCACCCTTTGTGTCCCTCGCTGTCTTCACTCACCTGTGCTCCTCCTGCAGGTCATCGGCAAAGGCAGTGAGAAGTCTGATGACAGCTCCTACGATGAGAAATACTTGATTGCCACCTCGGAGCAGCCCATCGCAGCGCTGCACCGGGACGAGTGGCTGCGGCCAGAGGACCTGCCTATCAAGTATGCTGGCCTCTCCACCTGCTTTCGTCAGGAAGTGGGCTCGCATGGCCGTGATACCCGCGGTATCTTTCGAGTCCATCAGTTTGAGAAAGTGAGTAGATGAGAGGAGGGAGAGTGGAGTCTTTGTACTGTCCAGATCAACCCAGGAGGGCCGTGATCACATGACCACAGTCCCAGAGCCCCACTGCGTACAGCTTTCCCATTCATTGCTGATATCTTAGTGGGGAAGAGCCTGGAAAATGCAGAAAGTGGCTCTGTGCACAGACTGGAACAAAGCTCCCCGCATCTTCTGTGCCAGTCTTCCCACTTACGAGCTCTGTGCCCTCCTGAAGAAGAGGAATGGTGGCATCCACCTCCCTAGACCCACGACAGCAAATGTGATGCTAGGCACTTAGCACGGATGGTGACTGTAGAATCCGTTGTCCCGGTTGTTGCAGTCCAGTCGATTCGAGCACTGATCTCCTTTGGGGCCCAGCCTGGCCTGTCTCCCAGTGTGGGCCTAGCTCGCTGCTAGACTGTCTCTACTTCAGCCCTTCAGTTTATGCAGCCATCACTGCTGTCCTGTCTCCTTGTGCCCTCTGTGCAGATTGAACAGTTCGTGTACTCATCACCCCATGACAATAAGTCGTGGGAGATGTTCGAAGAGATGATCGGCACCGCGGAAGAATTCTACCAGTCTTTGGGGATCCCTTACCACATTGTGAATATTGTCTCAGGTACGGAGCTCCGCGTCCCTCCATTCTCCCCTTTCTGTATCTCACTCGATCTCTGTTGCCAGCTGAGCCGCCCCACAAAGAGCTAGCTCTCAGCTCAAGTCATTAAAATATCACACCTTCTCCCTGGGAGTGTTTGGTGATGAGCTCTGAGTGTGACTACCCTCTGGGGCTACGATGTGAAGTGAAGGGTTCTTGAGGGGCGCTGCAGAGGCCTCTGGAACCCCGTCTGTCCTTCCTGAATCTAGGTTCCTTTTCAGGCTCTTTGAATCATGCTGCCAGTAAGAAGCTCGACCTGGAGGCCTGGTTCCCAGGCTCAGGCGCCTTCCGGGAGTTGGTCTCCTGTTCTAATTGCACGGATTACCAGGCTCGCCGGCTGCGAATCCGATATGGGCAGACCAAGAAGATGATGGACAAGGTAGTTAGCCCCCAGGGAAGTGGGCAGCAGGGCCTTCTGCACAGGGCCCATTTTTCTTATTTTTCTTTCTTAAGAGTCTATTAGTTTTCAGTTCAGTCTAGACCCAAAAGAAATTAGAAACTACTTCTCCTGAGTCAGGCCTGGGTTCTTAGAGACAGAAGCCTGGCCTAGCCCTATTCTACAAGGTGATTCAAGCTTTTCTCTCTTTGCCTTTGTTTTCCTGAACTCCAGAGAAAGAGTAATCTCCGTTTCTCCACACAGAACAAGTTGGAGGCAGTGTCTGCCCTCTTTTCACCCAAGAAGGTCAGGTTGTAAGCTCATCTCTTAAGCAGTCTTCAGAGCTGGCCTTGTGGCGCACGCCTTTAATCCCAGCTTGGGAGGCAGAGGCAGGTGGATCTCTGTGAGTTCAAGGCCAGGCTGGTATACAGATCTGTATGTTCCAGCATTGCCAAAGCTACACAGAGAAACCCTGTCTCAAAAAAAATAAATAAATAAACAAATAATTAATTAAATAAACAAACCCAGTTTTCAGACCCCGATCTCTCCTGAGTTAGTTTGGGATGGGTTAAAAGGAGGACCATACTGATGGTTTCTTCCTTCCCGCCAAATCCTCTGAAATACTGGACCCTACTAGCTGTCACGCATGCAAGCATGAGGAGTCTTCCAGGGCTATCCTACAGGCAGTGAAGACAAAACAGTTAAAAGTTTTACAAAGCTGCAAGTGGGTTAAAGCCGCGCTTTGGATTGGGGAAGGAATGGCTGAGTGACTAGCTCTGGTCATCAGGAAGATCACCTGAGATCTGGGTTTGATGTTCCCCACGGAACCTGCTCTTCCCAGGTGGAGTTTGTCCATATGCTGAATGCCACGATGTGCGCTACCACCCGGACCATCTGCGCCATCCTGGAGAACTACCAGACAGAGAAGGGCATCATTGTACCAGAGAAGCTGAGGGAGTTCATGCCACCAGGTACAGCTCCTCCCTCTTCACACTTTTCTGAAGAGGCCCTTTGCAGACTGTACCACATTTTCATATGAGACACGGTCCCCATACTTCTGCCTACCCCACGGTGCTGGGAACGTAGCGTGGTTGTCATACACAGATCCTAAACTCAGACTGGGGAAGAAAAGTAGAGAAGTCCCTCCATCTTGGGGGTCCCCTTCACTGAAAGAATTATTGTCTACAGTCTTCACTGAGGTCCATGGGCTTTGACAGAAATGGCAGGTCACTTAGTGGACTCTTCCCTCACAGGGCTCCAGGAACTGATCCCGTTTGTGAAGCCTGCACCCATTGACCAGGAGCCGTCTAAGAAGCAGAAGAAGCAGCATGAGGGCAGCAAAAAGAAAGCAAAAGAGGTTTCCCTGGAGAGCCAGTTGCAGAGCATGGAGGTCACCGAGGCCTGAGCGCGGTCTCCTCAGTCTGCCAGACTTCCTTTCTGTCTGCTGGGATCTCTGACCTGCCTTGGAGCAGGGAGCCGAGTACCACTCCTCACCCTGCCCCATCTGACTGCACAGCCGATGGGGAGCCATCTGCCGTGTACCAAGCAGGTGTTCCCGTCTCCTCGCATGGGCCAAGGGTCTCCTCACTGATGACTGCTGAACCATGCAATAAAGCATTTCTGGGGAAGGCGCGCGACTTCCTCAGTCTGCTCCCCAGGCGTGAACCCTGTCTCTGCTGGGTCTCCCAAATAAGGCTGCTCTGCGTAGTGCAGAGCCCTTCAGCCAGTTAGTGAAGGCTTTTTAGAAAACCTGGAATCATAACACGAGTTTTCAGGACAAGGATCATGATTCTCTGTCAATTCACTCCTGCCTAAAGGCAAGGAAGCTTCGAGGCCAGTATAGTGGAAAACTCTGCCCGCATTTACATTCCCTAGGAAGGGCTCCTTGGAAGGGGGGACGGCTGGTCGTGGTAGCTGACACTCAGCATGAACTGTGGTTCTGAGCAGCAGCTTCTGTGTTTATAGCTGTCCGCATGTGGGGAGACTCACCACATAGCAGTAATTTAGTGTCAGAGGCAGGGCAGAGGAGTGTAGTTCCTCTGTCCTCAGGGACTCCCACTGTGCCCTAATAGCTGGGCACCTGCACCCTGGGGAAAGTAGTATTCAGGCCTTCTTCCTTCCCCGGCTCCCTTTCATCTGTGATCTGTATCCTCGACTCTAATGACAGCCTAGGTCAGTCTAGCGCTTGTCTCCTGGCAGGGTGAAGCGCCTCCTCTAGATGCTCCCTTTTATCTTCCTATGGTCCCAGAAGGTAGGGTGGGGACGTGATTATACCCGTCCCAGAGTGGGAGAGGGAGGTGGTGTGGCCAGGTGGTAGCCTGGCTCAGAGTGGCCGGGTTTGTCTCTTAGGGAGATCGGGAGCTCAAGTGTGCCCTGGCCTGTGAGGGGCCTTCAGCTCAGCCCACCTCTGCTGCGTGGCCCAGTACCGAGCAGGGAAAGAGCCCATTAACCTTGCTCTTGGCATGCCTGTCAAAACTAGGCGCTGCAAGGGTGACCACCAAGGCTCTATTGCCTGCTGTGCCTGCTGGGGGCCTCCAGGCAGGTCCCATGGCCCATTGGCCTCAGCCCTGGGAAAACAAAGCCTGGGCAAGAGGACAAAAGAGCAGGCTGCTCCCATTTGTCATTCGGGGCTAGAAATTCCCATTCCCATAACCTTAACATTCAGTTTGATGAAAAGCAGCCTGAACCATGTGAGGCTGAACCTAGTGAGGCTAGGCTGCCCCACTTAAAAGTCTATTAGGAATGTCTAGGTGGCCCCGTGCCTGTCTTGGGCCTGGCCGAGGTCTCCATGGCTGCCTTCCCCACTTCTATATCCTGTCTCCTAATGCCTATAGCCTTCTGGCACAGGGTGCTATCTGGTCTTGCTGCATCAGCTCTTGCCTCCCCTGCACTGACTGACTTCCTCTTTACCTCGCTAGTTTTCTGTAGCTGGCTGTACTTGGACTCCAGATGATCAGAACAGTTAGTCATTCTTCCCATACTGGTCTTCCTCTGGGTGAGCCAGGTGGTCTGTTTCTTATTTTGTATGTGTTTGTTTTTTTCTTCGAGACAGGGTCTTACTATGTAGCCCTGGCTGCCCTGGAACTAGCTCTATAGACCAGGCTGGCCTCGAACTCACTCAGCTCCGCCTGCAGGTGTGCGCCACCATGCCCACCTGCCAAGTGGCCTGTTAAACAGATGCGTTCCTCCTTCTTGGAAACAGAGGAGAGAGAAAGAAAGATAGCTGGCAGAGATCTTCCTCACGAGAACCTGTTGGCAGGTGGGCATGCCCTCCGACCCTGTTGCTAAGCTCCCTGGGAGCCAAGCTTACAGAGAGAATAGGACGATCTCCACTCTCACTGTACTGGAGGGTGTGTCCACGAACCAGAATCCTTTTCTGGGAGCTCTGGCTCTGGCTGATGCAAGCCTTGTTTAGGATGGGCTGACCCACCTGGAGGCTGAGCAGTTGGGAAGGAGCCCAGATAACCTTGACTCCACCCGTAGTTGCCTCCGCAGCCTCCAGTGGATGCCCTCATCCCTGGCACTTCAACTGCCCCATCTCCAACCTCAGCTACCCAGGTTACCTCAGCAAACAACCCCCAGAGGCCCTGTGGAGTGAGTCAGAGTCCTGAGTCCCTTAGTAGAATTTGGTTCCCACACCCAGGAATCCAGGTCCCAAAATGCAGGTCTGTGTGCGTCAAGTAAGCTGCTGGGACCTGATGCTTGTCCTGACTTCCAGAGAGTCAACTACAAGTCAGGCTTCAGAGGATTCTCAAAGGTCAGGCAGGCGCGTTGGACCCAGTGTTTGCTAGGACCAACCTGAGCTCAGCCTGCTGTGCAGAGCCCACCCCCAGTCAAGCATATGCTCCCCTACCCCTACGCTGACCCCCCACTCCCAGGATCAGACTCCCTACAGTCTGCCCAGTTTTACCTTTGCTGAAGTTTTTCCCGTGTATGCTGGGTCCACAGGATACCCCCCCCAACTCCAGTACTCCTACGGGGGTGCCTAGGGCAGTCCTGGCTGAGCTCCCAGGATAAGTCTGACAGGCAGAACTGGGATGGGCCCCAAAGAAATGTGTTGCATGTCACAGCCTGTGCCAGGATGAGGGGCCTCTACTACTCTCCCAGTCACCTCCCAGCCTGGGGTTCCTCAGCCCCTCCCAGACAGGCGCAAGAGGGGTGCATCCACGTGGCCCCCACCTACACCAGAGCCTAACTGAGCTTAAGGCTCCGCCTCTGACGTTGCCCTTTTAAGAGCCCTCCCAATGGGGGCGGGGTACTGCAGGCAGAGTCTTGCAGAAATCCTGCGCTGTGCAGCTCCCCCACCAAGGTGCCTGGAAAGACCTATATCCCAGTTCTCCAGGCTTTGGTCAGAGGCAGAGGGTCCGGTGATCTCTGAGGGAACAAATCCCTTTTCCTGGAGGTACGGATCCTCTCCAGCTGCTCTAACCGGCTGGTTTGAGAACCCTGCGTTTTGGAGTCTCATATCCCTTAGTAAGATTGGCCCCCACCCTCTCGCCTACAGAAGCCTGCTGTCAGAAATAGTCTGGGAAATTACATTTGCTGAGGTGTAAATTGCTGATAAGAAGGTATGACCCTTAAGGGACAATTGGATTTTAAATCCTGAAACTGAAGAATTAAGCTCCGAATTGAGAATAGCATCCACCCCTTCCATCTTGTGTCAGGAAAAAAAAAATTCTTGTTATTATTTCAAGCCACCCCTATCGTTGTGCCCAGAGTCTCACACTCTGTCTCCTGGGTCTTACTCTTAAGCTAGCTTTCTCAAATTTCCTCATCCTCTCCACTGCCCCCTCTCCCCCAACATCAACCTGCTTACCCTGTCCCCCATCTTCTGACGGCATCCTAGCTGTTTTTATTTATTTTTTTCAAAGATTCCTCATCAAGGGACTCTTGAAATTCTACTGCCTCATCAGTATCCCCAGCCCTCTGGTGTCTCCCTATTAGGGGGAATGTGGAATGTCCCAGATAGAAGAAGGCTTGAGTTGCAGAGGGAAGGTTTGAGTCGAGGCTAAGGAAGTAGCTTGGGAAAAAACAGCACCTGGCTGTTTCCATAAGCATCTGGGACCTTGTTTTTCCATATGCCTGGTCTTCGGTAATGCTTGGGACTCCCAAGCATGCAGGCTGAGCCTCTCCAGGATCGCAAGACCCAAGTCCTTACCTGACTGATCCTTGTCCCCACAATATGTCCACGTGTATTCCTGCCCCAAACACCCGAGAATTACCCTTGGCAATTTTCCTGCTCTGCATCTCAGGCCAGTCTGCACCGAGTTCTCATCGTGAGATCTGCTCATCTGCGGGTCTAGAGACCACAGGTCCCCTGCAGACACAGCCTCCTTAGGGTGCCGGGATAGCCAGTGATGGGTCAGCCAAGATCCTCCTCTGGGAAGGGCTGGCGACATGGCTCAGCTGGGAAAGCCACTGACCACCAAGCATGATGAACAGAGCTGGATCTGCAGGACGTGGAGGGAGAGGACCAGCCCCTGCAGGCTGTCCTCTGTACACATGTACACACAGTAAATAGGTAAGGGGGGTTCCCTTTCCCATTTTCATAGAAAATCTTAGTGAGCACGGTCTGGCAACAGCAGTTGCCTCAGTCCACACCAGACTGGTTGGTCAGACTCAGTGTCTCGCCGGAACTTCATTCATGTGTTTTCTGCCTGTGCACTACCTCCTCCGTCTCTTTGGCAACCTGAACAGCTAAGTTATTAACAGCTTTGCTGGTTTCTGCACAAGCCTCAGCCCCAGGCTCCACCTTATCCTTGCTGTGCTCAGGGACCACATCCAACCTCAGCTGCATTTGGGATGGACCTTAACATTGTTATAGAATACTAGTTTTTTAAAATTATTTTTATTTTATATGCATTGCGTGTCTGTATGAAGGTGTCGGAAATCCCTGGAACTGGAGGTACAGACTGGTAAACCACCGTGTGGGCACTGGGAATCGAACCCAGGTCCTCTGGAAGAGCAGCCAGTGCTCTTAACCGCTGAGCCATCTCTCCAGCCCCAGAGTGCTAGCTTTTTAAGTCATCCCTAATAAATATCTCTGGCACTGTGGATAGAACCTGCCATGATGAAGGTATCTGTGCCATCTTTCATTAAGCCCAGTTGAAAGCCTCACAGTTGGGGCTTCAGGCCTGCTATCTCTAGGTACAGGCGGCAATAAGGATGCAGTTTTGAGGCTAAAGTGACACCCAACCGCTTCCCAGATGGAAGTTCCAGGCATGAAGAGACACCTGTGCTGTCTCATCTGTGCTGTCTGCCTATTGATTGATTCCTATTTCCTGAGTGTCTGCTATGTGCCAGGTCACATACCTAGATGCGAGGTGTTTGGGACGCAGTCTCCCCAGTCCTGTAGGTAACAGCTGTGCACCAAGTGAATGACAGGTGCATGCCCTGTGTAATTGCTAATTGCCATACATGAAGAAGGGGGCATTTAAGACTTCTCTGTTCAGCAACTGGGAAGAGGTCCAGTATCCGGAACAGAATGAGGCGTAGAGGGAGAATCTAGGCCACCTTATGGGTTAAAGATTTTGGGTTTTTTTTCCAGTGTGCAGCAGGACAAGATTCTCAGAAGGAAAGTAACATAGTCAAACTTTAGTGTGGAATGTTACTCTCTGTGAAGGACACCATGAAAGATCCTTAAATCATATAAA